CCCGCTCCAGAGGATATGCGACGGCCGGACGCTATTAAGCCCTCCCCCCACCCCCCCCCCCCCCACCCCTTATGAATCCTAAAACGAACACGCCCACAGGGCAACCTGTGCGCCCGCTACCAACTATTTAGGCTTAAGTTCTATTTACGGCTCCATTTACAATTATCCACTTGGAAATATCCTTGTACCTCCAAGTATGCACTGCAGGGCCCTGAATTATGCTTCATATACGCCTCAATATAAGTGCTTACTAAGCGCTACACACCGTATCAGCTATCGTCAGTATGCTCACGGGACGTCGCTCTGTAGAGATCCTGTAGCTGACACATTTGTAAACTAACCATAGGAATAGACCAGTTCGAAAATATACAATAAATATGAGTGCAGCTGCTAGCAACTCATAAATGTCGCCTATGCAAACTTCCCCCAGAGGCACTGACCTCTTCATGTGGTTGGAGTAGTAGATTCAGCTGGAAAGTAGGGGCCGGCGGGTTTCAGGGAGTAGCACATACATACATACATACATACTTACATACATACATACGTACGTACGTACATACAGACAGACAGACAGACAGACAGACAGACAGACAGACAGACAGACAGACGGACAGACGGACATACATATATACAGATCTTAGATATCAGATATACAGCGCAGAACTGTTTGTGTTTTTATTCACATTACACGCGCATACAGTTTGTAGTTTGTACACACACATATGTATGCATATACACGTGACACTACATAGATTGTACCGAAATGGAGGGAGAGCGAGATGTGCGCGTGTGCTATATGTGTCTATGTGGATGTGTAAAAATATGCATACACACACACCCTGACATCTACTAATATGTATGTATACATATACACACAAACATATGCATATAGATATGTCAAAAAATTGGACGATGTTTTCGTGTCCTGACTTAGGCGCTTGAGCGACACACTAGAAGTCATCATACCAAGAATCATACAGACACTCACAATCATATTAACAATGATCTCTTCCCCTTAGTATGAAGCCCCCTCCACTGCAATACTGAATATTATTTTCCGTGAGCACTATTTCATACAAGGGGTTTTGGCTTGGAACCCTCCCATTGCTCAGTGTTTCGTTGTACACCCTTCCATTGGCAGGAAGACCCTGCAGTCTTACGTTCGTGCAATTGCTGCAGCCTGCAGTTCCCGGGCAATGCCTGCAATCCTATGTACCTGCGGGCCCCTACCTACCGGCTGGCAGTCAACTCAACTCATATGATAATCTAGCACACAATCGCTCATGCAACGAGGAACTCAACTCATACGTGCCAGTACACGTTCGCTGTTGCAACCGTAAGGTTTCGGATGCTGGGATAATCCCTAATCAAAAAATCTGCGAAAGAGAGAGAGAGAGAGAGAGCTTCGATACAGGTTAAGTATTTAGCTTCAGGTCCCAAAACTTTACCTTTGGGGGAGCCCTAATCTCTCCCAAAAAGTGCCGAATTGTACTGTAGTCTTGGCCCGTTTAACTTCTCTTCAAGCACATCCATGCTGAACGTTACTCGAACACATTATTCAATGTCAGGGTCAGCTTTTAAGAACCCGGGGAGGCAAACAATAATGGTAATAATTAATAATGCTAATAGTAACAGTAGTAGTAGTAGTAGTAGTAGTAGTAGTAGTCGTGGTGGTGGTAGTAGTGGTGGTAGTAGTAGTAGTGGTAGTAGTAGTAGTAGTAGTAGTAGTAGTAGTAGAAGTAGTAGAAGTAGAAGTGGTAGTGGTAGTGGTAGTGGTGGTAGTAGTGGTAGTGGTAGTGGTGGTAGTAGTCAGTAGTAGTAGTAACTGCTTCTAAAAAGGACAATAACAATAACAGTATCAGTATCAATAACAATAACAATCCTAATCGTGATAGCAGTACATAATGTCATACTGACAAGCATGGAAAAATATTGGCAATAGACCAAAAACTTCAAAAACAAACACCATAATACCGATATGAATCGAATGAGGAAGGTGGTGATGAGAATGCAAAAGCTGCTTGTGATGGGAAAGACGAATTGGAGGAAATAAGAGTTGGACGCAACCCACAGGTCGAGCCACAGACGTAGAAGAAGCGAGATGAAAGCATCGAAACCCCTAGAAGCACCGGCGTGATATCGTGATATCCCGAACCCATCTTGGGAATGTTCTAAACGCTTCAAATTCTTTCAGCCTTGTCACCACCCAGATGGTCTCAAACAGCTTGGGATCGACCAAAGCCGACAACGGGTACAACGACCCAAGCAGACGTTGACGAAGAAAGACGTCATCAACAGGCAGAGTATAAACTCACGACAGACCTTGGCAAAGACATACCAATAGCACACCTGTAGCTATTGTTCAGCGGGAGGATGTGCTGGGTGAGCGCTTGCTGGTTGCTCCAAGTGACGGGGACACCAATGCCTGCCTGCCGAAGCGGTCTGCGAAGCGTTTGAAAGTGTTCTAGAACCTATGGACCTTCTCTGCGGAACGAGCATAGTATTCTGTGATGTGGCCTTTCGATAGAAGACGAAACCTCAAAACCATCAACCAGCCCGCCCGAAGCCCGGCCTGTTTGCCTCCTCGACTGCCTCCGCCATGTCCAGCCAGGCCTGAGTTGCCCTTCGTCGGAGTGGTACCGACGGCAAGGCGGGTGCCAAGCCTGGGGGGCTCCGGCACTTCAGCGGTTCCCTTCAAAACAACTTCAATGAAATGCTCTGGGGCTTTGCGAGCCTGTGTCAGGCAATTTGGCACCAGGAAAGTAGCCTGGGCCAACCAAAGGCTCCCCTTTCCCAATGTTGAATCATCGAGTCCGTGATCCACGCCCTTTTCTTCCGGCAGCACCTTTCAGGTCGCACCTGATGCCCAAAGCTGTCTCGTGTTCTCGGGCAGATCCACGAAGAGTTGTGTGTAAGCCATGTGGCCTCAGCTGCGTGCCATGTCCAAAAGCTTCAGACTTCCTTTTATTGGTCGATCATTCCTCCCTCCCTCCGTCCGAAGGGGGCAACCGCTTCCGCTGAGACAACGGACCATCCATGGGCGTGCGAGCTTCGGTGTGCAAGAAGTTGAAGCTGCTGCACCAGTAATCAGTACCCCGCGAATGGGAGCACGTGCAACTCAAATCAACTCTTCGCGATTCGTTTGCTAATAATCTGAGAAGTCTTGACGCTCTTCACACCTAGGCTATCTTTGATTGCAGTGTGCCTCTCTCTCGCTCTCTCTCTCGTTCTTGTCTGGCTCTCTATGCTTGTGACGGACACGAGCAAACGTGGTGCCCTGTGAGCATCCGGCAGTTGTGTCCAGTCCAGGCCATGGCACAGAGTATCAGCAGGGCAGGATACCTCGAAGCGGCACAGAGGCGACGCACACAAGCGATAAAGCGCTGCGAAACCGGATCTGTGCTCGAGCATTGCTGAGATGCTCGGTGTTTTGAGGGTACTCCAACACCCCAAGCAGGAGTACCTCCAGGCCGGACATGTGCACACAGGATCCTGGAAGTGTTGACGCAAGGAACAATAACCTAAAGCACTTCCCTGCACCTAGGCGATTGCTGGCTTTCTTTACTTTGGTGCCATTTGGGTTCAGCAGTCTGTAAAGGTGCCTTCGTGATTACGGGGACCATGTGAAGCAAGTCAATGAAGGGCAGGATCACCAGGTCAATTGTCAGCGGCAGCGAGCACACCTATCCGTTCTTGGACGATGGATGCTTCGTGGATGTCGGGTCATGAGCTCCGGGACTTGAAGCTTCCCTGAGGACTGAACGGCAAGGCAAGCATAGAACTAAAGACAGTACACAACACACTGCCAAACCCACGATTGCGACATCTGCCCTATGAACTGCTAACGACTGCGATTTCCCTGTCGACCTTTCGCGCGAATGCGTCCTGGCTCTTGGTTACGATCCACCACAAGCATTCCTTTGTTGAGCGAAAGAAAGCACACGGCACGTGGAAAGGCTCATGCACTCATCCTGCCAGTAGACATTCATGTGGGGAAATTGCAGAGGGGGCTCATCAAAGACCACGGCTGGAAGTGCAGCGCGCACGAATGAGCCGTAGCCAACCTTACCCGCCATGTTCTGCCCATGCACGCCATACAGTACACGGCAGGGTGTCGGTTTCAATGGAAAGACACTCGGTAAAGACTGCTGCTGCTGCCGGGTATCTGACGAGACCGCGACCAGCGCAAAGCGCCGAAAGGAACCCCAAAGACCAGGCCACAGCCAGTCCTTGCGGCCAGAGGAAGGTGAGACCGACCGCGGTGCTTCAATCGCGTTTCTCAACCCAGTTGCCCAAGGCTCTGCGAAGCCATTCTTGATGCAGCGGCCTCAGCGAAGGTGCATGACAAACCCCAGACTCGAAATCTCGTAAACGAGGAAAGGTGCCGAGACCCGCGTCTTTCACCACATTCGTGGATCGCTGCATCCTCTGAAGCAGCGTTTCCACCTTCTCCTCTGCTCAGAACCGAGTGAGGAGCCAGGAACCAGAAGGCTATCTGCTAAGAAGGTGCCAGGTTGACTGACCGACAGCTTCATGACAAAACACAAAGATCGCTTCAGGCAAAAATGTAGCTTCATTTGGATGTCGTATACACTTTTGTTTTGGAGCCCCGTGTGTTCCTGGATCCTCTGTCATACTTCATACAGACGGTCTTGGGACTGATGCGTGCAAGCATTCATCGTTCAAGCTTCAACGCAACGACGATCAGCCACCTGTCGTTCGAGCCTTGGCTTACTTCGGAAATGCTGCTGCACGTCTGCCGGGCTGGAGAACATGGACGATAATATAAACGTGTAACTTCTTGAACAGTTCAAGTGTGACCCTTATCAACCCTCTCGTGCACGTTCAATTCAACGACAAGCACCGGTCACACAGCCCATTGTGTTGCAAACATTGGCGATTGCTCGGTGCTTGTACGTGCTTGTGATAGATGCTGACAGTCTTTGCACTTTCCGCGGGGTCGACCTTCCTAAACTTGGACAGGGATACGAGCATGTATTTTTTGTTAAGGTGTGATGCAGTTTCACATAGGTTACAGTTTCGCTTCAGGGGTCATAGTATACTGCCAAAAGCAGCAACACGCCATCATATCTTCTGACTCGCCGGGGCAGGTCTCTGCAACGTTCATTCGGAACTACTTGACGGATGTCATATCGGTTTGTTACAGCCATTAGAAGGTCATTTAGGCGGCATTGCACATATTGCACTGTCAAGACCCCACAAGTCCTCTCACAACCCGTGAGAAGCCGGGGATGCAAAAGCAAAACTGGGGTCTCGTTGCTTGTCGATAGCCCAAAACGCAAAAGCGCTGAATGCGACACCTCAAGCCACAACACCGATCGAATCGTAATTCTGAACATCGATCGTGGGCGCCTCGTGTTCTTTCACTCCAATCCCTTCTACCTCAACAGAGGGCCCCGATAATTGTGCCACACCCCTTGGAGAAGAAGAAATTACGCAACGACCGTTCCTTCAGCTAAAGGTGTTGCAATCCAGCTCCTCGACTGTCGAGTTTGGTTTAGTTCCCATGGAACGGAAGCCGGGTTGCTGCACGCCATATCAGCACAGCACAATGGACCGCGCCACATGCGCCAGATCCAGGCGAGTCGCCGAGCCAGCCTCAATGCGATACGAACTCCAGAAGCTTGAATGGAGAATTCTGCAGCAGGTCGAGCCTCCGCCCTCAGCATGAAGCCCCAGAGTGAAACCAGCGTACATCACCGCGGTGACACTGCGTGCTGCCAGAACGACCTATGTGCATCCATGTGGTTAAAAAGGACTCAAAACCCAGACAAACAGGTTCGATCCTAGGAGCGACATTGACTGATAAGCAAGCTTGCTTCAATCTGAAGGGCCAATAGTGACGGCAGCACCTGGTTCGTCCATCCTCGGCACGAGACAACTCCATCATACATACTAGAGCCTTGATACCAAAATCTCGGAGTCGAACATGTAAACGTACACGTGCAGCTCCACGGACCAGGATCACAGGTCAAGGAAACAACCAGGATACACGAAATGACAGCCTTTGCGTGCCAGGAGCAGGAACAAGAGCTTGCCACTGTTCGGAGTGTCAACCGGATGCCCGCGGAGACTCTTGGGCTCTCAAAACTGTGGTTCAGAATGTATCAACATGTAACATGTCCCAAACTCAAAACTCAAAACCCAAGCAAATTCAATGAAACCCGAAGTCTGGTTCCAAGGCCCGCATCTGCTGTTGTTGCTGCCGGGCTTCTCAGGCCAAGGATAGCTCGCCACCAAACTTGCTCCAGCACCTCGGTCAGGTGGCGAGCTATAGGGCAGATGCGGGCTCGCCGATGTCGGGGCGCCGGTCTGCTGGACAATGTCTCTTCCACGGCAAGGCCTGTCGCAGGACGTCTCAGCGCTGAACTATGAATCAGAGTCTGCCGACTCTCTTCTGCAAGATGTCAAAGCACGAGCTTGCAACACCGTCGCGTGCCAAATTGGCAGATTTGGGACAGAGGCTCCTGTGCAGCACCTCATGACGGGCCTTCAGGATGCAGGTCCAATTCAACTGCTTTTGTATGTTTGACAACACTTTCAGCATAGCCCAGGCTCTGCAACCCAAAAAAGTTTGATGGAAATGCGCGGCAGTCACAAGAAGAGTGCTTGACATGTTCTGCCTTCTGGTGTGCTATGACGTTCCGATACCTTGAAAAATTCCAAACGCCCATGTGCTTTCTGCTGGGTAGCTGATGGAACTGCCTTTCGGCGCGCCTAGAGGACTCGGTGGTCGTCGTCCCTAACCTATAAAGCAAACGACAAATCTAAACTCACCATAGAAGCAGGGCTGGTGCTGTCTTTCAACGAATTCCAGCAAGAAGACTCGAGTCGACGCTTCGAAACCCTGGTGAGGACAAGATGGCACTGATGCAAGGCGCAAATTTGGATTCGGAACAGCCTGAGACAGCCCCGGGTTTCAAGTTCTCGGCCACGGCCACGGCCATCCCTTCAGCCTTCGGCCCTCGTCGGCCTTGCTGCCAGAGAAGGGCCAGGACGAAGGAGAAGCACAGCGACGCATCTACCTGAAGCAAATCTTACTGTGCTCGGCTTCTCCCCCAAAGCTTCCCAGCCTGGCCGAGCATGCGAGCAAATCACGGAGCCAGTGTTGGGGACATGGCGGCAGATGCGGAGAGTGGTCCTAGTTAAACTGAACGGCTCAAGTCCCAAGACGAAACGTTGAGTCGGCATCGGCACCGGAAGTATGCGATCCGCTGTGTTGCTGGATGCATGTCTGTCCGTGCTGCGGTCGGCTTGCTTTCTGGAGACTCCGTGCTTGATTTCCATGATCTGCTGGCTATGGTCTAAGCTCTTGCCCCGAAGGACAGCGTGATGTCGACTGCGCCTGGCCTTGCATGCTCCGAAACTATTCACGACGATCCTTTGACAGGCAGTGCACTGGTTCCTACTAGTTCAGTTTCGTACGAGTACAATCCAAATCGGCCAGGAAGCTCATTAGAACTCTTCGCTTCTCTGTCTCCTTAGACACGCTTCGTCTTTCAGGCACTGGAAAACACCTGCAATACTTCCGAAGAGGCTGCAGCCCAGTAATTGCAAAATTGGACTCTCGCACTGCTTGCTTCGCAGTGTCGAAGCCCAGTAGTGCTGGAATGGTGCCTCGTGTCACAGCCGATGCATCCTTCGACGGAGGCGATCCCAATTGGTCCAACAGGCTCCAGAGCAAGACTCTCTAGCTCTATTCAACTCTGTTCTCAGTGTGACTCGAACGGAGCACACTGGCCTGCAGCAGCTGCAGCGCTCGCAGCTCTGCCTTGAAAGCGCTGCGCCCTCCCTTCAGCTCCTGGAAAAACGCCCAGAAAAAGATAGCATCAGTCATTTTCATCATCAGCTGATCTCCGAGAACTCTGGCACAGTTGCAGCTGCCTTCAGAACTGCGGGGGTGCCGGCGACGTCGACCAGGTAGCAGGCACCCTGCTTGCCTGTCCAGCACATCGTCTCCCGTCAGACATCACACAGTCATGTCCCGGTCACCAACCCGGATCGTAAGCGATATATTCGTATGCAAGTGATGGAGCTTTCCAAAAAACAATTGGAATCTACACTTTGTCCAACTTTTCTCTTCCTTTAAAGCAGCCCCTTGCCTTTGCCGATCTGCCGCTTTCGCTCCATCGGCGGAAGGATTGCACCGACCGTTTCGCTGCCCGGGATGTCCTTCGCTAGCATGCACGGCACTTTGCCTGTGCACGACCACCTCTCCTCCGTTTCTGTGTCCGGATGGTGCGAACTTGCAAAACTCAACTTGGGGGATTCTCCAAAGATTGCCATCGGTAGCTTACAACTTCCGGCTGACAGCGGTGCGATCCAATCTGATCAAACCTCATGTTCTTAAATGTCCAAACGCTCCTGCACTTTCGGCAGCACCTCCTCTTGGACCACCCTCTTTGCGTGCTCTCTCGGTGGCTGTCCAGGGACGTGGCCAAACTGCCCATCATCCCAAGTTCCGCTGAGAAGCATCTCCTGGCGTGCTGCGCTGTGATGTCAAAAGCCGCTTAACCCCACCGGTCAACCGTCCGAGTCCTCGCTGACTTGGAGACGACGGTGGTTCCCGACGCCATCGGTCTCCCAGCGGAGCTTGTCTCGACGCATCCCGCGGATGATGACGTACTTGTACTGTAACCTTGCGGTACCCAACAACTCGTGCTTGCAGATGCCTGGACCTGTAGGTTACTAAGTCACGTGCTATGCAGCGACGTCAGGAGGCAAAGCGCTCAAACCAAGCGGCTCTTGCCCAAGCTCCACCTCCAAGGGATCGGAAAGTGTCCAAACCTGGAGCTCAATGCTGTGACTGCTACCCATGTCGCCGACGGAACTGCTGGTGCATGATTCCACATTCAGGACTCTCGGCCTTCTTACAGAAGAATGCAGTTCCTGTGAGTTCGCTTTGACTTTGGTTCTTGCGATCAAGAAGCGGGCCACGTATCCTGCTGGGTGATTGGGTCGATGCAGCTGAGGAGCAGCGCCTGCGCACCTCCACTTGCGTAGTCTTAATTAGCATGACGGAGCATGATTAATCTCAACGGTGGCACACCTCGATCCCAGCCCGGCATGGCCGGGGCTTCGCCCTTCACCTTGCAAGAGACCAAACGGCCGTGCCACAACGCGCCCGCGCTCGCCAAGCCACGCCCAGGTCGTCCCCTGGTCGCGTCGCATCACAGCGCACCGCGAGCCGCAGCAAGCCCTTCCGGGCTACAGTAGAGCTTGTGCACTGAACTTCTGATACTCTCTAACCCTTTCTTAGAATGGGTTCGCCATTGCAAGCCGGCCTTCTTTGGGGCAAAGATGGTAGAGCTGGACAGGCCCATGGCGACAATCGGTGCGCTCGGCATGTGGCGTGCTGCGCTACAAAGCTGCTCCCGTCGAAACTCGTGACTTACGATGGCCCATGAAGTGATGCCGTGAGAAGTTCGTGGCCGGATGAAACTAGCAGCGATTAGCGTCCAGTCACTGTTCCGTTAATATCGTGGCCTGCTTCTGCTGGTAATGATGCGGGTGAGGATAAGAAGGTGGCAGTGACCCGCGTCACGAAGACAGCGATTACATCAACACCACGACGACGAGGGCTACGATGACAATGGAAACGAGACGAGGACGACGACGACGACGACGACGACGAGTTGACGATGAGGCTGCTGGCGTCTGCATGTGTATGCGTGTGTGTGCGCACTACCCTCATTCATGGGTTCTGTGGGGTCACTCCTCTGTTCTGCCACTTTTTCGTTTCTATTCTTGCAAGGGGGACGGAGGGGGTCTCCATCCTCCGAAGCTCTCTCTGACACCCCAGGGAAACCTACCAGCTTATGTTCTCTCATCGATCCACGCGTGTATAGCTTGGGGACCCTCACATCATTTTCTTCTTCATCTCACCTCGTGCTACATCATTCCCGGTGTCTGATGTATCATCATCTCGCCCAGCTTTGCAATGCTTGTGTGCCATTCATTCTCGATGTCTGGCATGCTTGAAACCAAAATAGCCATCTCATTTTCTTCTCCATCATCATCAACATCATCCTGTTCCATATTGCCAACCATGAGTGCAATCCTTCCAGAAAGTGTGATACATCGGTTTTCCGTCATGGCGCCGCGGTGGTCTGGATTGAGGATTCCCTTCAGCTCTTTCAACTATAAGGTATTCAGCCACCCGATGAGAGGCCCAAGGTACCTTCACTTCAGTCGACTGGGACCAACTCACGGCCATTTCGTCGGACATGTCATAAGTGCATGCGAGCAGGACGGCATGCACAAGGATTTGTGGTAAATCTAGAGTGGTTTGTGAATGCTTTCTACCTGGCAGTCTGTCTCTCGTATTCGACGTCTCCTCCATGTTCCGACCTCAGCCCAGGACAGGACTGCATGCTCTTCCGTCACGGTCAAGGTCTAGTGCGCGTCTAAACTGGTAATGCTGTAAAGGTCTAACGCAGTAAAGGGTTGACGTGTCTGCTGCATTACAAATTGGGGGTTACTCCCCTGTTCTTCCACTTTTTCGCTTTCATTCTTGCAGGGGGATGGAGGGGGTGTAGAGGAGCTCCGTCCTCCGAAGCTCTCCACTACACACCAGGGAAAATCCCCGCGCGGATAGTTTTGGGACCCTCACATCATCTTCATCTTCATCTGACCTCGTGCACAGATCATCTCACCCAGTTTTTGCAATGTTTGTATGACGTTCTCTACGTCTTGCATACTTGAAACCAAAATAGCCATCCATTTTCTTCTTCAGCATCATCAACATCATGCTGTTTCGTATTGCCAACCATGAGTGCAATCCTTCCAGAAAGTGTGATACATCGGTTTTCCGTCATGGCGCCGCAGTGGTCTGGATTGAGGATTCCCTTCAGCTCTTTCAACTATAAGGTATTCAGCCACCGCGCGTGTGCATCTGTATATATGGAAACGGATAGATGCACAGATAGATGCTAGGCAGACAAAGGTAAAGACAGCAATACATCTCCGCATTCAGCGTCTGCCTATTCTGTTCTTGCATGAGTATGTATTACATAAACAGAACTCAACATGTAGCTGCGTATGTATAGGTATATATATACATATATATATA